CAACAATGTCCACTATCTTTACTATACCTGGAGTTTACCTGGAGAGAGTTTCGGGGGTCAACGCCCCCGCGGCCCGGTCTGTGACCAGGCCTCCATATATGTTCTTCTGCATTCGTGGCATGACATTTGTTCATGTAGGGCTCCAGCGCTTGGGGCTGATGAGGAATGAAATACTGGAGGTGGTGTCTTCCTGTACTTCATACCTCTTTGATGATGGTGGTGAGGTATGTGGTTAGTGTGCAGAGAACAGTTGTGACTTCCTGTAGTGTGGCCTGGGTGCCAGTGTGGCCTGGGTGCCAGTGTGGCCTGGGTGCCAGTGTGGCCTGGGTGCCAGTGTGGCCTGGGTGCCAGTGTGGCCTGGGTGCCAGTGTGGCCTGGGTGCCAGTGTGGCCTGGGTGCCAGTGTGGCCTGGGTGCCAGTGTGGCCTGGGTGCCAGTGTGGCCTGGGTGCCAGTGTGGCCTGGGTGCCAGTGTGGCCTGGGTGCCAGTGTGGCCTGGGTGCCAGTGTGGCCTGGGTGCCAGTGTGGCCTGGGTGCCAGTGTGGCCTGGGTGCCAGTGTAACCTGGGTGCCAGTGTAACCTGGGTGCCAGTGTAACCTGGGTGCCAGTGTGGCCTGGGTGCCAGTGTGGCCTGGGTGCCAGTGTAACCTGGGTGCCAGTGTGGCCTGGGTCCCAGTGTGGCCTGGGTGCCAGTGTGGCCTGGGTGCCAGCGTGGCCTGGGTGCCAGTGTGGCCTGGGTGCCAGTGTGGCCTGGGTGCCTGGGTGGCCTGGGTGCCATGAGTAGAGTTCTTGAGCTATGAAGTCCAGATGAGACAAGCAGTTTGGAAAGGCCGTGAGTGATGTTTTACAGGGCATCACTGACCTATACTTTATATGTGCCACAACTCTTGTAAGACAGTCCATACAAGGAGTTTATTGGGTGGATGTTGACAATATTTCTCTATCATATAGACGATGGTTTGCTACCTTTGTCCTGATGGGATCGTGCAACTCAAGCACTGATAAACACCCTCAGATGTGTATCCCTTCACCAACATGAAGGTTCTGTAACTGCGGCTTGACGTTCTTCATGCTGAACTGGAACACCAGAGCTGATGATGAGTGAAGGATGGCAGGAGTGATGTCTTCCTGCACTTCATAACTCCTCAGTGAAGGTGGTGGAGTATATGGCAGCAGTGTAGGGCCAAGTATGATGATCTTCAGTGTGCCGCCTGGGTGCCAATGATTAGGAAATCCAGCGCCTAGGAACACAAGGCCCAAGACTTGTAGCGGGGAGCCCAAGGGAACACGTGGCCTAGGACTTCTAGCAAGGAGCCCTTAGGAGCACGAGGTCCAGTGCTTGTAGCAGACAGCCCCTGGGAGCACGAGGCCCAGTGCTTGTAGCAAACAGCCTCTGCGAACACTAGGGAAGCACCTAGGAACACGAGACCCAGGGTCTGGCAGCAGGAAGCCCCTGAGGGCTCTGCTGTACCAGACTCCAATAAAGTGGGAACAGGATTTACCTTAATTGTCCTGCTAAGGTAAGAGATGTACTCTCTCTTATTAAAATACACTCTGCAACACTGGACTGCAAGGAGCGGTGGTCGCTTGACCACAGGTCGTATACTGGTACTGCATCTGAGGCCAGTTATTTTCATTAGAGAGCCAGTTCGGTCCGTGGAGCCATAATTTATTATCTACAAATTTCTTGAGTGGGACACCACGTGACAACATGTCAGCTGGATTCTCTTGGGTAGAGACTTCATTCATTCATTAGAGATTTGCCGGTAATTCCGGCCCGGGTCTTCTCCAGATGGTGACCCGGCGGTGGCCCCCGGGGCGGGGGTGTCGTTCGTCTTCTTCATTCTTCTTTCTTCTCTCTTGGGCCCCCCGGTTGGAGGGTAACTTCTTCTTCTATCTTGCATTGACTCCCCAAGTGGGGAGTGTCTTCTTGCTTGGGATCTTCAGCGTCACAGTTGGGCAGAGGCAGAAAACAGGGTCCCATTGGAGCCACACTCCAGCTTTAGCAGGCAGCAAAGTGCTGGGGAAACTTGTCTTGATGGTAGTGCTAGAGGGGGGAACCCTCTGCAGCAAGCTGATTAAACCTGTTCCTCAGTGTTTCGTGGTCGATTCCAGCATGGTTGAGGGCGGAGTAGATACGGTTGGCAAAGTGTTCTAAGTTGGGTTTCACAATGTCGTTGATGTCCTGCTCACATTCTGGAGTTTGCATTGGGTTCTTCTTCTGGTTGGTTGTGCAGTGTCCACCACTCTTGCCCTTGGCTTCTTGTTGCCGTGGGGGATTGGCGGTGGTCTGGGGAGCTGCAGCTCTTGGTTCTTGAGTTTTGGCAGTCTTGACCTTGGCTCCTTGTTGTGGTGGAGCAGTAGTAGCGGTGTGGGGAGTTGCAGCCCTTGCTTCTTGTGTTTTAGCTTTCTTGGCTGGCGGTTGAATTGTCCGAGGCAAGGCCTCGGCTTGGATAGTTGCGGTGGCGGTGGAGGCAGGTGGTGGTGGACTCTCATTGGTGGGATTTGCCGACGTATCAGTGGTCTCAGACTGGTCCATCTCTATGTCGAGTGGAGGTTGTGTCAGTGGTGGCACAGCAGTTAAGCTGGCAATATTTGCAGTGGTTTGTAGGATCTCACTGGAAGGTGGTGATGCAGGGAATGTGAGTTCAGGCATGTTGTTGAGTTTGAATACTTCGTTGATGGTGGTGTTGAAGGAGCCAGGCTCAGCTGCATTCTGTACATGAGCATACATGATGCAACATAGGATCTTGGTGGGATCGGCAGCAGGTGGTGTGAGGAAGGTGGTAGGAGCAGCTTGCGTGGCTTGTAGGATCTTGGTAGTGTCTGCTTGAATCTTGGCAATAGCAGAATATGTGGGTGCTTGTGGTTTGGACTTCTGTTGTTGTTGATGTTTTTTGAGTATGTCCCTTCTGATAGGACACCTTGCAGCAAGAGTATGATGGTCATCCTTGCAGTTCATGCATTGCGGTGGGGAAGCAGTAGTGCAATTCTTGAAGTCGTGACCCTCAAGGCCACAGGTGGAGCAGTACTTTGTCTTTGGCAGGGCAGTTTTTGGTGATATGCTGGTATGAGTAACAGTTAAAGCACTGTGGGATTTGTTGGTATTTTTCTGCTTCAATGAAGGCTGGATTGATATAGAAGTAGTGTATAGCCAGGCCCTCAGCGAGGGCTCTGGCTGCCATGTTGACGGTGACTTGATAGAAGCTGAAGTGTCCTTGGATGTCCACGTCTTCCATAGTCTAGGAATACGCACACTGGTACACAATGTTCCACAAGATTTGTCTTTGTTCTCAATCTTATCACTAAAGAAGCTGATCACACTTCTCTTGAAGTGTTTATTGTGTTTTATGAGACACTTTGTTCACACTAACGCACAGATCGTTCTTTGTTGGTTATCCTGGCGTCAGTGTCACTCTCAGTAGAGTCAAAAGTAATCTGAAGATGCCACAACTCCCCACGCCGTCACTGCCCCCAGCACAAAGGAAAAGCTGACCTAGTACTTTTGCTTCCTTGCCACTTCCTCCATGAGGCAAAGCAGAATGTTTGTTTCTTGCTGTCTTTAGCATAGACAACAATGTCCACTATCTTTACTATGGTAATAAAGTGGGAGCAGGATTTACCTTAATTGTCCTGCTAAGGTAAGAGATGTACTGTCTCTTATTAAAATACACTCTGCAACACTGGACTGCAAGGAGCGGCGGTCGCTTGACCACAGGTCGTATACTGGTACTGCATCTGGGATCAATTACTCGCTGTAGCAGTAAACAAGATATTTGCCCCTTCTGAGAGGGCTGGGCCCCTCAGGGCTGAAGGGGGCTGATACCCCCCTCCTGGAGAAAATTTCTCCACAAGATCAATCAGGCTACAAAGTCTCTGTAAATATATACTTATTAACCCAATTTCAAAGCAAATGCTCCTCCCCCCCCCCAAGACGCTCTAATACAGACTCTGGAGTCTCTATACACAAGTCTATACCACTGAAAATATTTTTGGGACTTCAAAGCATAAAACTGATGTTTGGCCAGGTCCTCTACAACCCTACTGAAAAATAGAAATAGTTAATTCCACATTTCTGAGGAACTGTAATTTATTTTTCCGGCTATAATATATTCTGCCTAAAGAAAATTGATCCTGTTATGTGAAGCTAAAACTTGGGCTGTGTAGTTTTAAAAATAGGTTAGACGTGAGGTGTGATTGCAATTAGACTCTTGCCTTAGCATGGGCCAATAAGGCTGCCTTCCGTGCTCTTTATGTCTTTTAATGTATCTCCCATTATAATAGCTTCTCTTACATTACCCGGATCAAGACTCTACCAACCCTCACACACATAAACTATTATGCATTATAGTATTTATACCAGGTAGCCCTTACACAGATTACACAAGTCAGGATGTCATTTATGCTCTTATTAAGTGCGTGAATTTATAACATCCTCCAGGATGAGACCCTTACCATTAGGCCTGTGCAGTGTTCCTCCTCTCTTATGTACATCCAGTGGCTAATGAATATAAGGAAGATGTCCACTTAGACTCCTGGAACGAATATCGCGTTCATCTTAGTTAACAACCATTTCAACTGAGCCATGTTATATTCACATATTCATCTCTGATCATTCCTACATTCTTGCCAGGATGTCAGCCTGCAAATAAGATGTTTACACTAAACTCCCAAAATCTAATCAGTCTTCAACCGTAGCTTTACAACCACTTCTGCGGGGGGATATTTAATTTCTACTCCATTCAGAAGTAGCAAGAATAATTCCCATTATTTCCCACTCAAGATTCATTCTGAGGGTCGAGAGATAAGCTAATACTTCCCATTCAGCTACTTTAGATATCAATTTCTCACAATCTTTCCTATACTTTCCCCACCACCTTCCCACTTAATACAATTACTATCTGCTTCAATAACCAAACTTTAGACTTATAACCTGGAAATACCTTACAAGTGGGCCCTGCCCACCTCTGACAACATCTCCAGCTGCTACATTTCCACATACCTGAAGTAATCCTCTCCAGGTATAACACTAAATGTTACGGCTCAGACCATTTACTAGTGCAGGTGTCTCCACCCCTCAGAGTGGTCAATGTTGCTGTCTTGATCAATGTTGCAGCAGACACAGCCAGGCACAGCATCCTCAGTTACCACACCTGTAACAAAACATTTGCATTATAACCATGAACATTACACACATTTATGGTAAACATTACCATGTAATATAAACATTACCATGTAATATAAACATTACCATGTAATATAAACATTACCATGTAATATAAACATTACCATGTAATATAAACATTACCATGTAATATAAACATTACCATGTAATATAAACATTACCATGTAATATAAACATTACCATGTAATATAAACATTACCATGTAATATAAACATTACCATGTAATATAAACATTACCATGTAATATAAACATTACCATGTAATATATACATTACCATGTAATATAAACATTACCATGTAATATATACATTACCATGTAATATAAACATTACCATGTAATATATACATTACCATGTAATATAATACATTACCATGTAATATAAACATTACCATGTAATATAAACATTACCATGTAATATATACATTACCATGTAATATAAACATTACCATGCAATATAAACATTACCATGTAATATAAACATTACCATGTAATATAATACATTACCATGTAATATAAACATTACCATGTAATATAAACATTACCATGTAATATATAACATTACCATGTAATATAAACATTACCATGTAATATATACATTACCATGTAATATAAACATTAATGTAACATTACTTCCTGATATAAACCATTAACGTTTACAACATTATAAAGCTATCTTTTCTTACATTAAAATATTCTTTCACCTTATATAACTGATGACCAACAATTTGTTTACATGGAATCATATCTGGATTACAAGCGCAGTTCCTGATCAATAACCATCATGTATTTATACATAATGGAAAAAATTGTACAATACTGGATATACACCATATGGGTTATGTAACGCATGTTAGAAGCTATTTGTTTTAATCAGAGGAATGGTTAGCTCCATATCCTCGCAGCAAAACCCTCCACATAAGTACGATCCCCCACTTCCTTGACAAAGACACATTATTTTACCAAAGGGAAAGAAAATTTAAAACTTAAAATATTAATTTAATTTTGTGTGACCAGACGGTGTGGGGACTCCAAGTCCTGCAGCAAATCCACTGTATGTTTTGTACATGACAAAGTACGTCACCAAATTATATTTGTACGTTAATTTAGAGTTTGTTTATAACAGGGTGAGGAAGCAGTAAAACCGGTGGGGCGGCAGGAGGAGGAGCAGGACGTCTCTCCTATACGACCACTGAAGTTCAACTGACTCTTAGTGACCTTGAGGTTGGTCACTGTCCTGACCTTCTCTATAACACCATCACTGATAACCTGACTAACTCTGACTACCACCACTAGATGGCACTACTATACCACCACTATCAGTATACTCATGGTGGAGCGCTCAACCCGTGGGAGTCATGGACCACCTGGGAGGATAAGTTCACTCTCAGGTGGCATAGCTCACATTCCTTGGATGTGGTTTATGCCACCACCACCCTGAAGGAACCTCTCTCAAGGTCACCACTCTCACCACCAGAGGCGCTCAACTCCACTACTATTGTACCACTAATACTCTACATGAGAGTATACCTGGAGACGGTTTCGGGGGTCAACGCCCCCGCGGCCTTGTCAGGGCCGGATTTAGACCTTGGGGGCCCTCAACATGGAATTAAATTGAATTGCAAATGAGAAATGAATTAATATTATAATCATGGGGAGCGCTAAACCCGTAGGATTATACAGAGCACGTAGGGGGGAAGGGATGGAAGATATTCAGTCTCAATTCAGGGAACCGGAGCACAGATCCAATTCCCAAGATCAAGAGCCCTTCACCAGCGTCAAGGGACCTACCTTGAGGGGAGAAATGAACTAAAATGAATGATAAACAGCAGTTTTCGAAAAAAAAAAAATAGGTTTCGACGAAAAACATCTGATTTCATTTTTCTCAATTTTATTCACTTTAAGAAATACTTTGATTATATTTTTCAGTTTGTAATATATTCCATAAACCCTATATAATAAGTGCCGATGTGTATTTATTTATATCTTTGGTGTCACACTTTCGGTATCTATGGTGACAGTTGACCAGAAGAATATTAACAAGGTCTTGAGGATATCTCTCCAAGAGAGAACCCTCAGTAATGGATTTAAATTAGACAAGTTTAGATTTAGAAAGGACATAGGAAAGTATTGGTTTGGAAATAGGGTAGTTGATGAGTGGAACAGTCTACCTAGTTGGGTTATTGAGGCTAGGACTTTGAGTAGTTTTAAATTTAGGTTGGATAAGTACATGAGTGGGAGGGGTTGGATTTGAGTGGGACTTGCACATCGGAGCTTGTTTCTTGGGTGGCATTGAAAATTGGGTGGGCAAATGTTTGTTAGTGGGATGAATTGTAAAGGACCTTCCTAGTATGGGCCAACAGGCCTGCTGCAGTGTTCCATCCTTTCTTATGTTCTTATGCTTCTCTGACAGGTAACTACATGGCTGCGTCTGAATCACATGATGGCGCTTCACTGTTCATGTCTACAGTAGTATCAGTAGAATGTTGTTGTGGTGATTCATCACCTTTACTATTTTGATCTGGTATGTTCTTTCTATTTTCTATAGATGTACTTGGGAATGCGTCCTTAGAAGACTCATCTGGTAGTGGTACTGGTTCTTCACTAGTAGCTTCTGTGTTGTCCACTACGGAAGCGGAGAAAAATTCTGTAAGGCATTTTGTCTCTGTCAAGATCACAGCATTTCTTTCGCTTGATTCTTTGATAATCTTTCTTTTCTGAGCTCCTAATAGCCCTTCTGAGGTCGACATAGCCAAAACCATACACGCAATAGCTACCTTGCACACACACAGACACAGACACACACAACAGACAGACAGACAACACACACACACACAACACACACACACACACACATCACACACACACACACACACACACACACACACACACACACATATATATATATATATATATATATATATATATATATATATATATATATATATATATATTATAGGATTGTTGATGTGTGTGGATTTTAGTGTGTGTGACAGGACAGATGTTTGCTGTGTTTGTGAATGATGTTGGATGTCCTGGCCCTAAGCGAAACAAAGCTGAAGGGGGTAGGGGAGTTTCGGTGGGGGGAAATAAATGGGATTAAATCTGGAGTATCTGAGAGAGTTAGAGCAAAGGAAGGGGTAGCAGTAATGTTGAAGGATCAGTTATGGAAGGAGAAAAGAGAATATGAATGTGTAAATTCAAGAATTATGTGGATTAAAGTAAAAGTTGGATGCGAAAAGTGGGTCATAATAAGCGTGTATGCACCTGGAGAAGAGAGGAATGTAGAGGAGAGAGAGAGATTTTGGGAGATGTTAAGTGAATGTATAGGAGCCTTTGAACCAAGTGAGAGAGTAATTGTGGTAGGGGACCTGAATGCTAAAGTAGGAGAAACTTTTAGAGAGGGTGTGGTAGGTAAGTTTGGGGTGCCAGGTGTAAATGATAATGGGAGCCCTTTGATTGAACTTTGTATAGAAAGGGGTTTAGTTATAGGTAATACATATTTTAAGAAAAAGAGGATAAATAAGTATACAAGATATGATGTAGGGCGAAATGACAGTAGTTTGTTGGATTATGTATTGGTAGATAAAAGACTGTTGAGTAGACTTCAGGATGTACATGTTTATAGAGGGGCCACATATTATATCAGATCACTTTCTAGTTGTAGCTACACTGAGAGTAAAAGGTAGATGGGATACAAGGAGAATAGAAGCATCAGGGAAGAGAGAGGTGAAGGTTTATAAACTAAAAGAGGAGGCAGTTAGGGTAAGATATAAACAGCTATTGGAGGATAGATGGGTTAATGAGAGCATAGGCAATGGGGTCGAGAGTATGGGTAGGTTAAATGTAGTGTTAGAGTTCAGCAGAAGTTTGTGGTTACAGGAAAGTGGGTGCGGAGGGAAGAGGAGTGATTGGTGGAATGATGATGTAAAGAGAGTAGTAAGGGAGAAAAAGTTAGCATATGAGAATTTTTACAAAGTAGAAGTGATGCAAGGAGGGAAGAGTATATGGAGAAAAAGAGAGAGGTTAAGAGAGTGGTGAAGCAATGTAAAAAGAGAGCAAATGAGAGAGTGGGTGAGATGTTATCAACAAGTTTTGTTGAAAATAAGAAAAAGTTTTGGAGTGAGATTAACAATAGAAGTTAAGGAAGCCTAGAGAACAAATGGATTTATCAGTTAAAAATAGGAGAGGAGAGTTATTAAATGGAGAGTTAGAGGTATTGGGAAGATGGAGGGAATATTTTGAGGAATTGTTAAATGTTGATGAAGATAGGGAAGCTGTGATTTCGTGTATAGGGCAAGGAGGAATAACATCTTGTAGGAGTGAGGAAGAGCCAGTTGTGAGTGTGGGGAAAGTTCGTGAGGCAGTAGGTAAAATGAAAGGGGGTAAGGCAGCCGGGATTGATGGGATAAAGATAGAAATGTTAAAAGCAGGTGGGGATATAGTTTTGGAGTGGTTGGTGCAATTATTTAATAAATGTATGGAAGAGGGTAAGGTACCTAGGGATTGGCAGAGAGCATGCATAGTTTCTTTGTATAAAGGCAAAGGGGACAAAAGAGAGTGCAAAAATTATAGGGGGATAAGTCTGTTTAGTATACCTGGTAAAGTGTATGGTAGAGTTATTATTGAAAGAATTAAGAGTAAGACGGAGAATAGGATAGCAGATGAACAAGGAGGCTTTAGGAAAGGTAGGGGGTGTGTGGACCAGGTGTTTACAGTGAAACATATAAGTGAACAGTATTTAGATAAGGCTAAAGAGGTCTTTGTGGCATTTATGGATTTGGAAAAGGCGTATGACAGGGTGGATAGGGGGGCAATGTGGCAGATGTTGCAGGTGTATGGTGTAGGAGGTAGGTTACTGAAAGCAGTTAAGAGTTTTTACGAGGATAGTGAGGCTCAAGTTAGAGTATGTAGGAAAGAGGGAAATTATTTCCCAGTAAAAGTGGGCCTTAGACAAGGATGTG